AGCAATAAGATTTCTTATTAACACGAGTGAACGTGGCGTCGAGCTCGTTTCATCAGAGCAACGGTGAAATGATGTGAGCTCAGTGGAAGTCGAGCGGCAGGCGTGGTGTCACATTTTGAGCCCTCCAGAGGTGTCATGAAGTGACTAGGTGTGCCCACTTGGTAATGTCAGTGATAATGTCAGTGATGTCACCGGTCTCGCCCACTCACATCTCACCCTGCATGCGAGCCTCGCTTCGGTGTACCTTAAATTAGAAGGGGAGGCAGTTTGTGTCAGATCATGTGTGCTGGTGAAGAAGCAATCCGGTTTATGGCTCCTACCGAATGACCCAATTGATCATCCGCTGGCGCTCCTCTTCACCTGACACCACACCAGCTCCCCTCGCTAATGAGTAATCTGTACCAGCTAAGCTATGACAGTGCTCATGCAACTGTGAAATCCCTAAAACATAAACCATAATTATCTGTTTATGACTAAAAAGCATCATTAAGATACTGCGGTGAGGACAGTTTGCCTTAATAGGAGTGCAAAGGATATCGACAGTCTGTAATTATTTTATTTTCTATTTTTATATCAGAATAAAATGTGTCCTCTTTTTGCGAGCCACAGAGTCGCAGGAGCACTTTGACTGTGCCAAGACATATGTTTATTTATCCTCAAAGTGTCAACATCCACTGCATAGCCCTCTCTGTGAACTGAACAAATACTGGTGCCAGGCTTTTAGCACTGTGCCAGGCATATTTTAATGTCTGGTAAACACTGTCCTCTAGTGCTCACGCTCTAACACACACACATACACACACACACACACACACACATGCATACCACGGGATTATGCTCCCTTGTTGTCAATGCCAAAAAACAGGACTTTTCTAGGAATTATATTTTACAGCATATTGTTTCATCTTTTAAAACACTTTAGACGGATGTTAATTCTTCCTAACGTACGTCATCTGTTCAAAAAGTGCCCCTAATTATTTCCTCTAAAGAAGTGTCACTTGTTGTACTAGTGGGTTTTATGATAAAACTCTTCAGCTGCATTGACTTTTTGTGCCTCCAACACGGAGTAATAGCTCCAATTGGACAAAAATGTCTGTAGCCATGGTTTTTATTATCAGCTACCCTCAGATGGCTTTTAGCAGGGCTGGTATAGTCTGCCTAATGAGGCAAGTCACAATCACAGAGTGAGCAGCAATAAAAAGGAGGGGATGGCCTATCCCTCCTCCTCCAAATGACCTGATCAATCATTCACTAATGCTTTCTAACCAGCTGATTTCACCTGTCAACACAAGGTCAGAGTATCCCGATCTTCCATATGACAGGAGGGTGATGTGAGTCTTGACGTAGGCACAACAGATTCGCAATCAGCCTGTCAACCGGCACTTAAAAGCCCGCAGGATATTAGAGATGTAAATGGAACATAATGGCGCCATTATAATTGTGCTCATCCTGTTCAGACTTTTGATGGCGGTGTCTTTTCTCTGCGATTCCACACCATCTGGCTGAATCAGTGTAGGCAGGAGGAGCCGAGCCAGGAGTAGTTAGTACAACCAGTCTTTGGTTAGGATGCAATCATTATCTTTGGCTAGTGACACATCCCATTTGTTGCGACTCAAAGTTGAGATTTGGGTAGAGGCCAGAGCAGGGCCGCCAATTACTGTTCATGCAATCTTTCATCCGTCTACAAAGCAATACCTCTACTTTCAGATCTCTGCATTCTAAATAATGTAGTTCAACAATCCAATAAGCATCTGACATGTTTTCACAGAGGGCACAGAGCGCTTTGTGTGGCAGACGCAGTGAACTTTAAGGGCATGCACGGTGACATTGTGTGCTGATATGTGCAAACAGTCCTGTTGGGTGAGTTGACCAAACAAACAGAGCAGGTCACACAGACCCTGTAAACATCCGTCTCTTTCTGCAGAAATCCTCCAAAAAGGGCATTTATGATCCAGCTTGCTGAATCCAAAACTCACCCACAACATTCAGTATTATGACAATCAGAGGGGATATTTAGAGAATAACAGGACCTGTTAACAAAGACTGTTTGTTTGCCAAATGGCTGGTTGAGCAGACAAATCTGCCAGCCGATTGGATTGTGCTTTGTGCAGTTTCCACTCCATCAATTACATTTTGTAAGGAAAATTAGAATTGGCAAATATAACGTCATACAAATTGCTTTTTCTGTTTTCTTTTGGGTAAATACAAAAAATGCTGCAAAGTTAGCATCAGACAAGGCTGACACTTGAATCAAAAGATTTTATGACCTGATCTGGATTTCCAGAGATGTCATCAGTGCTGCTGATCGTTGCCTAACGTAACAATATTGTGGAATATTTAGTAATGAGCTCAGATTACACCACAGTTACTGTCATACCATATATCAGGGATGGCCAAAGTCAGGCCCGAGGGCAAACTGTGGACTTCTGACTGACAGCTTGTTTTCTAAAATATACTATACAGTATGTGACCAGTCACACAATATTCGTAAATCAAAGTTTACCTTGCATTTTTTCTGTATCTCACGACAGCAACCCTATCATCCAGTTTGTAGACATGCTCCAAATAGGAACTACACAGGACAACGGTAAACAAGCAAATGAACAGTTACCATAAAACTTAAATTAAAAGCCTCATCCCAACTAAATGCCCATTCCCTTTTACTAGCCTAGTGTAGCTAAGCATTTTGACAAATAAAGGAGGTTGATTAGACCTTATTGATTACATAACATTATAATGCTTTAAGATATTTTGGAATGAAGGGTTTGAATATTTGCACGTGATTATTATCAAATTCTAGGCTAGCAAGAGTAATGCAACAACAACAGATAAATAGTAGATGACACAAACATGTGAGGTCATGTACTCTTCAAATAAGTGAATAAAGGGCTGCATAATGTAACAACAGTATTTGATGTGGTTTAAGGCTTCAAGGCACTGAATAGTGTTCAGATAGATAGAGGGATGCTCTTATTGCCCAGTGCATTATATAGCAAATACCCACCTCAATCAAATCTAGCGTACAACATACAGGTGCATCACCATACAGTAATTTGGAATATCATAATAAGTGTGTATATATATATATATATATATATATATACATATATAGTTTCTACACCACCCAACCTTTTGTAACTTTATTGGATCATGAACTAGCCACCTGCATAACGTTAAATAATGTTACCTTCGGGAGCATGGCACTTAATGAGCTCACATCATGCATGATTAGCCAGTAGCTTTCAACCCATTGTGTCACAGCTAAAGCTTCTAGCATTAACGTTACTTAGCAAGAACTTAAATTTTAGTTAAACAAAAACTAGCAGCTAGCAGTATCGTCGTCTTCCTGTCAACTGAATTCAAGTTTTCCGCCTTCCGCCAATACATCAGATAACTTCCTGTGTCGTTTCAAAAATAAAGCTGTCTGTTGTGTTAATATGTTTACCATGCTGTTTGGGGCTTCTTCTATTTTTTTCTCTTTGAAATTTCTACCAAGGTCCGGACCTCGGTGACCTCATAGCTTGCTACGGCCATGCTTGGTAAGTTATTCATATTCCTTTAGTCCGTAAGGGTCCATCGCAGCTACATCGAATGATGTGTAATTAAAATGTTATTCAAAGCCTAATTTTTGTACAAGTAATATTCGTACTGGTTCAAATAAAGAATTTGATTGTATTTCCCATCTTTGCTGAGCAACAGTTTTGCGTAAAAGAAATTCAAGGCCTCTACCATATAGACGCCTGTGGCAAACATAAACCTGTTGCCTTCAGTGATTTAAGCAAATAATAACCTGGGCTACTAATTGAAGTTTTACAATACCTAGCAAAAGACATTTTCTTCTAGATAGCAGACATGGCCACAGCAAGGAAGCTTAAAGTCGACAGCGAGGCCTGTCGCTTTCATGAGCCAGGGAAAGTTGAATACTTTTTTACTAAAAGAGGAAACAGTTGCGTTTGCTTTTGTGTTTTTATAACCTGTATAATGCAAGAAGCAGGTCAAGCACATCAAGAGCTGTGCATCTCTTTGCATGGTGTAGCTATTGAGCAGGTTAAAGAGGCCACACTTGAGGGAACTCTTTCATGGTCAGCTCACATTAATAACATGGTTGCTAAAAGGAGTAGAGACTTTACAGTTATCAGAAAGTGTGCTTATTTTTTTTAACAGAGATGCCAGTTAAACTAGTACAGTCTTTAGTCTTATCACACCTGGACTACTGTCCAGCAATCTGGTCCAGCGCCTTGAAACAAGACCTTGTCCAGCTTGTTCAAAAAAGAGCTGTTTGTCTTGTCCTTCACTGCTCTGTGAGGAACAGTGTGGAGGGGATGGATGAGGGTGGAGGACAGACTGGCATACAGCCTGATCCAGTATTTTAGAAATATCTGTGCCTTAAGAAGACCTGCACGCCTATATTCACAGATAACATACGCTGTTGATAGACACCATCATGAAACCAGATATGCCTGCATGAGAAGCTTTTCACTACCCTTACCGTAGACCAGTGCATTAAAGAAAACTATAATGTTCAGTGCCATGTCGATTTGGAATAAATTACCACTATACTAACAAAGAGCACCAATGATCAAAAAAGAAATCTGTTTTACCAGCATATGATGTAACATTTGTGAAGGTTATGTGTATTTGTGGCACTCACTTGGGTGATGTCTCAGTGTACAACCATGTTTTGTGCAGTCACATATAGTTCATGCAGTTACATATCATTCTATGAGCCTAAGTTATGGTCTCTAATGGTTTGCTCTTGTGGTCTACTGATGGGATGACGTTACTGCAGTAATGACTAATGGGGATCCTGAATAAAGAATAAAGAATAAAGATGGCCCCCAGGTATTTTTACATGATCTAATCTGGTCACAGACGTAACAGCAGTCCAGCTGCTTTTTTAAACTTTCTTGGTTCATTAACAAAACTGAACATGGTGGAGCTTCATTACATGTTGTCATGGTTGTAATCCTGGGACACAGATTTAACACAATGTTTGGATGGAGCACAGATTTATATTGACAGGATCAGAGAGGAAAAACAAAACTTGCTGAAACAGGTTTTAGTGAATCCTGTGTTATGAAGCTACAATATTTTGGGGCAGAAGCATGAATTTACACAATATTTCATTAAAAGAGGGCCTTCAAATATTAACAGGATTTCAGATGAATAAATCAGGACCTTCACAGGTTATTTCCAAACTGGTGACATCTGACGGATTACTGATGCATCTTTTATGATCCTCACTTTCATCATGGTGGTGAGATTTTGGTTGTGGCGTTATCACTGTGAAAAGAGGCATCTGGCTCCCATCTGGGCTTTGTTGTCTTTCTGCAGCACAAAACATATTTTTAAAAGCAAGCAAAAAAAAAAAGAAAATTGCACAGCTCTTTGCTTGTTTTTGCTCATCTGCTTTGCATAGAAATCTGTCAACGCAATCCTCCACTGCCNCCCCCCCCCCCCCCCCCCCCCCCCCACACACACACACACAATGATAAAATATTCAAAAAAGACACAGAAAATTAGTATGAACATCCAATTATGCTTAATCGAACTGGTTTTATGTAGCTCACATGTTTTTATGCACGTCCAAAGCTGCCTATTGTGGTGTTTGTGATGTTGGGCTGAAGCTCCAGAGAGCTGGTAGGTGGCAGAGGAACCGGAATAGCCTGGCGGTAGACTGTGTACTAATGACAAGAATGAATGATACATCCATGTAAATACAGCAGTCAGTGCAGGTTATATACAATGCAAGGATTTACAAGTTTTGCATAAAAATGTAGGTTGTGGATGTTTCCACCAATACCTCTGGGAATTTAATCTTCACATCGACGCTGTCTGCTGAGGCGGCAACAACTGATGCAGAAACCTCCTGCCCGGCATTTCTCTCATGCTGCTGGTAGAAGCCGAGAAGTAAAGCCATGCCTGGGACGTAGCTTTCAATTCTGGGAGAGGTTAAAAAAAAAACTCCTTTAACAATACACACCAGTTTGTGTCATCATTTTAAACACAGAAAATGTTTCCACCGTGCTCTGTAAATCAGAGCGAGCGAGTCGAAGTCATCTTTCACCTCCTTCTTCTCCGGCTCACTCTCCTCTTACTCCTCACATTTTATCTTCCCTGATACAAACTTCACCTTTTTTCCACCGAGGCTCACCTTCTGCCCGTCTCCGCCATGCTCTCCGGGATCCTGGTCCAGTGCACTTTGGCCTTGAGTGTTGGCTTGGAGCCAGGCAGATGTGCAGTTGCATATTTCATTGACATTTTATAGGACTGACATTCAGCTCCCCATCTAATGTGTGCCTAGAGCAAACACAAGAGATCAATCATGAAGGAAGTCTCTACAAACAAAACCCTTGGCTTCAGCCTCCATGTGTAATATGATAAAATACCTTAACTGGCCATCAGTAGGATTTTTAATGTCGAAATTTAACCATCATGTAGTGTGTTTGTAGACAGTGTATTTAAACAGATTTATATGGCTAAATATATCCTAACAACAGACAAGTGGATCTGTTTTATGATGTTTTTGATTCTATTAAAATATATAAAATGCAGTATGCAGACATTTACAAGGCTGCCATGAGATAAAGAGATTTTATAGCACTAGTCGTGTGTCAGCATTCATGTACCCATGTGTCTGGCAGTTAAGAGCAACCTTCACATGCATTATGTAGTGAAGCTGAACTTTGGTAAACTTTGTCTATTTTGAGAAAGGTTAAGAGATAGTGATGGTGGCTGGATGAAATGTAGCTGGTTATTAGATTTTAAAGGTCCAGTGTGCAGGATGTAGGGGGATATATATTGGTAGAAATGGAATATAGTTTAATATGTATGTTTTTTTTAGTGTATGATCACCTGAAATTAAGAACGTTGTGTTTTCATTACCTTAGAATGAGCCGTTAATATCTACATTGAAAGTGGGTCCTCATTCACAGAGTCTGTCATGTTGCACTGCCATGTTTCTACAGTGGCCCAGAGCAACACATTCTCACTCCGACCTCATCACATATCGACGTTTGTCATGGACTTTCCAAGTCCCGACGTAATGTGAAAGGTATCTTGGGTGCATTGGTCGTTGACGTTCCGGGACACCGTGTCAAGTTTTGCCTGTTACATGCATTGTTTCAAAACACACTTCCGTTTTCACAGGAAATTTAATGTTTACATGGAGGCTCTTTCAAATTAAATACAGTATGTCAGTGTAACACCGCAGAGTGACGTTGTTTTTCCTCCAACAACACATGCACATGGTTAGGTTTAGGAAAAAAGAACTGGGTTTGGCTTTATAGTCTTGCGGGTTGCGGTCGGTGTTTGTTGGACCAATCCACCACCACACCTGCCCGCTCTACTCGCACTTTCGCCGCCTTAATTGTCGTTCTTGTCCCGCTGTGTTTCCCACTGACACCACTAAGCACCATTAAAATGTAACGACGAATGGCTGCGTATCATGACAACGTTAAAAGACTGCTTTTTTTGTCAGTGTCTGACGCTGCAAGTCACTGCCAAAGCACCATATTTTGACGACTTAGGAGAGAGACTGGGTTGCCAAGAACAGACAAACCAAACAATGGCTTTAGATAGGGCCATTTGCATTTTCGCGTCAGCCACTGTAATAAGCAGCAAAAGGCGTCGTAAAAATAGTGATTTTTTTTTTTCTTATGTGAAACTGCGTTAATAAGGGTTTTTACTGGTTTAAATCACTGGGTCTGTTTGTTTTGAAGAGGAAGGGACCTCTGCGGATACTTTGGCTGAGAGTTCACGCCTGGCACATGGGAGACGTTTCAGCCAGTTGCGATCTGTAATCCTCACTGTTAGACGCCACTAAATCCTACACACTGTTTCTTTAAATGTTTTAAAGGTTAAGGCTAGCAATTACTTATTATTTTAGTCTTTTCAGGGAAAATATAATGGCAATATTATTCTTTAAACTTCTGACATTTAATGCACACAGATAGAAATAAAATAGTATCCCGTGTGTTGTATATCTACCTTTGCCTCGTCATGGGCATCCACAGTGGTGTCAACGCACATCTTCCAGTTGGTGTCTTCCCCGACCTGGGACACAATCAGCTGGGTGTTCTGAATGTTTGCCTCAGGTGTGTAGTAGAAGGCTGCATCATAACCCTCGGGCTTCTGGTTGCCACTCATGGCCAATGCTTTGATATTGAACACAGCTTCAGGTGTTGAGTCCGAACCCTATGGAATATGATAGAAGGCAGTCCAGTGCGCTGTGGGTTGGTGTGCATCACGTACAAATGTGCAACATATCAGTCATCTTATGTCATGTGTGGACCTGAGCATTTTTTATCGTATATGACAGTAAAGCAACACTTTCTATGGAGTGCTTCATGCACACAATTAGCTGCAGTCATAACTTGAACCACTTATTTTCATGGTGATGGGATCATGAATCATTAGTACAGCTGAAACAATTTACATGATGACTGCTCAGTGCAAACATTTTTGGGTCACTCTCTGTGGAGCATGTGTGAGCGTACCTCCATTATGTTGTCACGACGGCTGTGAGGAGATTCTGTGACGCTCGAGGCTGAATCAGAGGTCAGATTTACTCGCTGGGTGGCTTCCTGTAAACACAATTAAGCAACAGGAGAATTTGAATGGATTAAACACCAGAGCAGGTGCACAGATAATAACATTGCAAGGGTAGCCAAATACCTTGGAAAGCCTCCTCAGAGTCTCAAGCAGTTGGCGTGCACTCATTGGGTCTCTGCTCGGGCCAGCATTAACCTCAAAGTGGATTTTGTCAACAGCTTTGATTGCCTGTGCTAATAAAGGTATACAGGCTACGTTAGGAAAGAGTTAAGAAAGAAATGTATCAGGCAACACAGCAACATGCAATCCAGTGTCTGTTTTCAGTGGTTCCTGTAAAAGTATTTTAATTTAAACATTATGCAAAACCAAAACAAGCAGGAAATCTCATATGTGTGTATGTGCGTGGGTCCCTCGCATAAGTCAGGAACCATTCATCCAATCTACTTCACATTTGGCAGGTGCAATGCTGAAGACCCAAGGATGTGCATTGTCAAATTTGGCTCTCTACAGTGTCAGGGACACTGGGGGCTTTAGGCCTCTGCAGCACGTTTTCATCTATGCAAGTATTCTGTATCGCTCGCTATGGTACATTCCACAGATGTAGAAAGAGACCAGAGATTTTCCATGTTTCAAACATTTCAAGCATAAGCTATGTAACGTTCATGATGAAAGCTTGTGTTTCTGAACCCAAAGAAGCGCTGGGCTCTGCAGAGCGAGCAGCATGTCAGCCATGTCGAGTTACCCTGGCACGACACCGGCTTAGCTGTGGCTCACTGACTGCAGTTCAGACGCTGGATGTACTAATGTTACAACCAAGTTTGTCTTCACTTTCCTGGAGTCAATGAGCACGAGCAGATTGCCCACAGGATAAGCATAACTCTGCCATTGCATCTCAAAGTGTGAACATTTGCCATGTAACTTACAACACTAACAATGTGACCGCAAGCTGAATAACTAAAAAAAAAAATCATGCCCTACTCTATAAACTAATACAACTGCTTAGCTTACTTCAGCTTTCTTACTTCTTCACTGTCTGATTGTGAGTAGCCGTGACTTGAGTGTTATTTTCAGGGGCAGATTTAGTGATGTGGGGGCCCCAGGCAAACACTGTCTTGCTTTCCTGTCTACCCATCCTTTAACTGGGAATGTTAGTATTTGCAGTGGTAGAAGAAATAGTAGAAGTAGAAGTAGTAAAACTATTAACTTTTAAACTTAAAACTATAAATACCACACAACGAAAGTAGGCTACTGCATTCAAATTTTCACTTAAGGTGAAGAGAGTAAAAGAGGAATAATCAACACAATGTACCTTTACTTAACATCTGCCTATGGTGGAGCCAGTGTTGGACAGTAACGCGTTACAGTAATAATGTTACTTTTTCCAGTAACGAGTAGTGTAACTAATTACGAATGAAATTTCAGTAATAACGTTACAATTACTCTAAAACCAACGTTACTTTTGTTATCACATCACTACTGACTTGAAACACATCAGATCACATCAGCGGGCTCATTTTCCTAACCGTCGTGCTGCGCACGCACGTCACAAAGCAGCTAGCTACTTGAAAACGTTAACCTTAATGGTTGAAAATTTATTCCCAATACTTTGATTTTGTTGGGAGGAAAGATGACAAGAACACTGCTGCTGTAGTCGGACTAAAACTCTTACCACAAAAAAACACATCCTCAAACCTCCGGTCTGAAAGCACAACAACGCTAAGCTCCAGGAAATACACCCCACCAAAGGTGAGCCGTTCTTGGCTGCAGATGTTAGCTGGAGCCCTACATTGGCTAAACAACCAAAACTGGATTTTAATGGTGGAAGCTGCAGCTACAAAGACATAATGAAGCTTGTGCCTGGATATGTTGTGGATTAAATGTTGCTCCATGAGTGACAGACTTGTAGGCAGAGCCTCGGGAAAATACCGGTCACAGGCAACTGAAGACACCAGGTAAATAGAAGCTACCCAGCATTAGCTACACTTACCAGCGATTAGCCTGATATTCACACAGAGACACATATCTGTATTTAGGGGAGATACGGAATTACAAACTTTATGGGGTCTAACTAAAAAAGTAATATAACGAATAGTTAATCGTTATATTTTGTGAGTTAATTCTGAATCTGCAATGTAACCAGTAACATGTCTCTGTCAGGCATATGTAGTGGTGCAATGTTTTCCTCTGAGATAGAAGTACACAGCAAGTTCTGTTGAGATGCGTATTTAAGTGCTCTAGGGGGCTTCTGTACAATCAGTTAGAACAGCAGCATCATTCATTTTTGTCATATCCAAACATCATAATAAATCTGAAACTGTTTGGGGTCCAGGTGTGTTGCTCAGGACCCCAAGAAGAAGAGTATCAAGTGTGAAATTGTTTGAATGAGTAGTTCTTGAAAAAGGATCAAGCAGCAATACCCCAGGCCAAACACCTGGCCTGTTTTGAACAGGCACTGTACTAGTTCATAAAAAACAACAATTAAGAGTATCTTAACTCTCAATGAAAATCTTGTTCTTGCAGACTTCTGGTAGCTTAAGTTGCTGCAGTGATGTACAAGTGTGTCAGTACAAAGTGACATCACTCTTGTGTGTGGTTCCAGGTGCAGCAGAGCACACTACTGAACACAACCTGCCAGAGGTGCATTGTGTCTCATGCAAGTTTAAGCCAATGCTCTCTCCTAGCTAAATGACAGACTATGTCGATTTCCACCAGCTAAAAAAAAGAAAGTCATGTGACCAGCCCCAAAACTACATCTATTACTATTTTAATGGTCATTTTAAGCTCATTCTTAACATCATAAAATGGTTGTAGTTTCGCTCCAACACTCCCTGGTTAGGTTTACGCAAAACATCTTGGTTTAGCTTTATGTAATCATTATTAGTTATGTCACTAACATAGATAGCGAAGCTTGCTACACTTATATACTACTACTATCGTAATAAGCTCTTTGCACAGTTGACCAATGTGGTGTTTTTTTCCATTAGAGTGGGCTGGTTAAGCAGTGTTTTGCTTGCACTGCTAAATATTTGTTACATTCTTGAGGCCATATACGTTTGTGATGTTTTTTTGGATTGTATGAATGTGTTGGACTTGTTGTGCATACCTGGGACTACTTTGAATGCCATGTGGGTGTATCCCAGGAAATAGTAGAGGGGGTATTCCTCGTGATAATACTCTCTCCTTAACTCAGACTCCACACACAGACCAGCTCCATAAATGTTACTCTTGGTACACATTTTGGATATTGGATGCCAGGTGTTTGCTGCCAGGATCTATTGGATTGGGGGAAAATTACAAAGATTGAGTTCTGTAAATCTTAATTATTTTTACATTAACAGTAATCTTACAAAGGTGATGACTGTACCTCATCTGACTCAGGCCTCACAACTGTGGGGTCCTTGCGGACGACTTCATGATTGGAATCAATGGCTGTGGGCATTATTGGAGTCATTTTAGCCAAAGCTGGCTCTTCAATGTTCCTGGAGACTGCGTACACATTGGAGCTGTTGGTTGGAAAAGAAAACATGGCACATTGACTGCATTATGGGTAACTTTTATAACACTTAAAGCACAATTGTATAAACCACATGGCATACATTGAGTCCCATTCATTTTCGACTCAATATATAGGTAAGAGGAACTTTTTCAGGCTCTTACTTCAGAGCAGTGCATGACAAGAGTTGCAATATGAAACAGAAGTTTGGTCTTGATGTGCTGCTCTCCATTTAGCAAGGAAAAATGTGTTGATTGAAGTACAAGAATTAATATTTTGAATTTGTGAATTAATTCAAGATTGTGATCCTTATGTGAAACCATTTCCTACTACATGCCTAAAACATACCTGACTGAAAAGAGTTCAAACTCTTTTTTGCATGAAGGAATGTCGAGTTGAAACTTCTTCTCTCTGACATTAATCTTGACAGCAAAGTTCCACGGGATAGCAATGGGCGATTTGCTCTTAAGCTCAGTACCGCACTGGAACAGCTCTGTGTTGATCCCATAGAAAACCCAAAAATCCTTTGTGAAACTAAAAAAGAAGAGGTTAATTCACTTGTTTTAACTCCACAATATGGCTATAAATGGTATACAAAAGCAATTTTGTTTGCTTTCTGTGATAATTGCTTAATGGTCTAGTGTGCAGGGTTTAGTGGCATCTAGAGGTGAGGTTGCAGGAGAACTACGATGGCTGACGCGAAAACACAAAAACATGACTGACCCTATCTAAAGCCAGTGTTTGGTTAGGGTTTGCCTTTTCTGGGCTACTGCAAAACAACATAGCAGACTCTGTGTAAGAGAACCTGCTCTGTATGTGGATATAAACAGCTCAGGGTAATGAAAACAAAAACAACTGTTATATTCAGATTAGTATAAACTAATGGAAACATAGCTATGTATAATATATATAACTTCTGCCAACAGATGCCCCTAAATCCTACACACTGGACCTTTAACATGATGGAAGTAGTATTTTACCCAATAAAACCATCAGACTCCAGTGAAATGTCAGAAGTCAACAGTTGTCCAAGATGTTCAGTCAGTGGTGGATTTACTGTGGCTTTGGCTGCATAAGAAAAAAATGACTTTAAAAATGATTTACATCAAATGAAATAATAATTTTAGTCATCAACCAGTGCTAAGTCAATTTGTGAGGTGGTCCTTTGCTGTAGGATTTGACTTCTCACCATTAACTGTTATCCCATTGATGGTTTCGTAATATTTGCTAATCTCCAGGGGGAGACCAAGGGTGGTAGCTTGGAAGTAGCGAACCTCAAAGATTAAGAACGGCTTTGTCCGATGCCATGACACCCCCTTCTGTAGATTCTCGATCACAGCCCACAGAGGGCTCTCTTTCCCTGCAGAAGGACTAAGAGCCTGCGGGCAGGATCACAGGAGAACAGCATGTAACAGGCTTTGTACACACATGGTCCTTTTTGTTGACTGTGCTTCGACACTAATGTTTGTTCTTCAGTTATTCTCTCACCATGATGATGTCCTGAATGGTTGCTTTGTTAAGATCAGCAAAGAAGCACTCTTGTCCAGACGCGCGAGAATAGGCGGACAGGATGGGCTTATCATTGGGCAGAATTTCCCAGTTTTGAAGCTGAAAATGGCACAGCACAACACATAGCTGACACATCACAGCACAGTTCTGCTTTTGCCTCAAAGTCATAGTTATACAGCTCACTCACCACATTTAGAATAGCCTGGAAGTCACTGAAACTAAGATCTCCTTTAAAACTAGGGATGCCGGTGTCAAGCAGCTCCTTAAGTCCTTCAGCACGGACACCAATCTGCAGCATAAAAAGAAAAGAAGATTACTATTCACAATTGGGAAGACACTTCATCTTCAATGAAAGTCTCAGTGTATGGCGTCGTACCTCCAGAAGCTGCAGAATTCTACCAATGAAGTAAAATTTTCCTTTCAACATGATTTCAGTGGGGAAGTTGTTTGTTGCACTTCTCAGCATGAAGACTTCAGCAGCAGTACCGATAAGGAAATCATCTGTATCGGGGGGAAAAAGCAAATCGTCATGCACTGGTTTCAGATGAATCAAAGAATCTGTATTTGAGCGTACCATTAAACCAGTCCATGCGCACTGCTTTGCTGTAGTGATAGCTGAGACGACCGAATTTAGGGGCCAGGATTTTCGCGGCTACGCTGCAGGCAGTTGAGCTGTTGTAGAGAACAGAGAAATAGATGGTTAAAAGCTGGAGAACACTGGAAATAATATGACATAAACAATAATGGTTATAACTGCCTTGTTATGCTCACAGGAATTGGTTGTTTGGCGTACTGGATCTGGCAATGCTTCTCAAGTAGGAGTATGCAAAACTGACAAGATGGAGGTCTTTTTCCTCCTGTAGATGTCCAGTTACTGTGGACACTAGAGCCATTGATGGCTTAGTGTCAAACAAGATCATGAAGGCCAGCATGCGTATCTCAGTGGTTAGGTTCTTCTGCACGAACAGATTCAAGGTGATGTCTTGGACCTGAAAACACAAGTATTACAATGATTAGGAGTTCAGAAAGACTGCACGTTCAACCACCCACTGCTCTGTATTTCTGTTTTCCTCCAACACCGTCTCTAATATTTTCTGAAGAGACGATGAACTTTAAAAATCCAGATTACTGTAAATGTTGGAGATATAAATACGGAGATAATTGTGTATCTCCACAATGCAAAGATAACGTGACAATAGCATGAATCAGATTTGCCATTTTCACATTGTTGAAAATTATTCTTACCTGCCACAACGAAGAAAATTAAATTCCAGGATTAGAATAACCTGCAGTTTTGTTTAAACGCATTGCCAATTTGAATTTGACCTTATCAGAAAATTACATTTTTAGCTCGACTGTGGAACACAGAGCATGCAATTACCATAAACATGATTCATATGAAAACCTAGCATATAGCTGTGATAAATGAACATCTTAGAAGTCGCCTTTATTCCTGTATGTTATATATATATAGTTACACTGTGAGGGTCTCTGGCAGCTATGAGTCTCATAGACTGCACGGCAGCACTCAGCACACGAGGTGGAAGATCCACAGGGGTGGCAGCAACTCCGGGGAGGAAGCGCATGATTGTTTTAATGCTGCCTGGATGACCTGCGTTCCCCAGAGCTTTCAGAGCGATGACCATGTTTTCCTCATTGCCATTCCTCAGACTTTCCACAGCCATGTCCAGCAGTGGCTAGTACAGATGTAAACACATGTGCAGTCAGTTGTTACAAATAGACTACATTATGATTTTGCACACAGATAATTCTCATCATATACCAGGAGAAGTTACGGTACAAAGGAAAGTAAATTCTTCCTCTGTCTGATTACCTGCACAGCAGATACTGGACAAGGTGTGTAATAGGCACAGTGCTTGTACACCAGAGAGCCATAGGAAAGCACCACTGTATGCCACAGATAGATGCTGGATTTGCTAAAGGGCATGCTGAGGAACATCTGTGAAAGAGAGACAGAGACATTTTGACATGATCTGTTATGATTGCATGGTGACATTTGTCAATATGCAAACCATTTCTCCGTCTTTACAACTCGTTTCTACAAAGCTCCGTGTACGTGTGCAATTGAACCATAGCCGTTCATTATTATGGGACCTTCCATGATCTCCAATGTGTTTGCAAAACTCCTTCTGATTTTTTGGTTTGGAATTTGCCCAGAGTAGACTGAAAACTGTAACTTTTGCTGCGCCACAGGAAGTTGGCTTAAAAACAAATAAGCTAGCAGGCTATTTCAGTTGGACAGCTTATTAAGCTTACATTGGTAGCATGCCAGCTGTGTAGCATATAGAGTGCATGCATCATGGTTCATATGTCTTTTAACAATATATTGGCAACATAGCTGGCATGCCAAGCTCCTCACTTATTTGTTACCATGCACTGTTGGTCCTGTTTTTGTCTTGATAGTGCCCCATGCACATACTCCATCAGACAGTGAAAAACAGACAAAATTGACTTTTTGACTTTTTAGAGTTTCTATTAGGGCTGCCTCCTGACAGTCAAAGATTCAAATCATAGTTGGAGAACCTTCAGTTAAGATTTTTTCAAGTCAAATGGTCATTTATCCTGTGTACTTCTGGTGACATTTTGGTCCCCAGATTTAGCTTCACGCTTTCATGCTGCTCTCCAGTATAGTCAGCTGCAGACCCAGACCCAGAGTGAGTCTGTCAGCTGTCTGGAGGAAGAGAGAATTTGCCCGGTCAGGCTCCGAGACAATGATATTTGTCTATTTGTCTTCTGCTCAAAGTGGTGAATTTACAGTTCACAGCAACTTGATTTGAAACAGTCTCTGGCTTTTATTTGATATCTAGTGTAGGCAAATTTTTTTGCACACTTCTGATCCATTGTTAACATTGTAAGCATGCATTAACTTGGGTTGACTTGTTTAGTACTGTATATCTCAAGAATGTCACTGTCACCATGAACATTTCACTGAGCCCCGTTCAAACTATCAAACTCTACAAGGAAAAAAGGAATTAGTTGAATAATACTACTGAACAACCAGATCTGATTTAACTGACATTATTCTGAGTTGAGTACAGCTCTAGTTTTTATCAGGCAGCAACCTCTGGGGCTGAAAAATGAAGCCCTCTTCAAATGAAAATTAGCTTATAGCTAACTCTGGTACAGCTAAGTAACTGATTACTATCCCTGTTAAATAAATAAATAAAGTAAGTGCCAATAAGTGCAGTTCCCCTAATGTCCACTTGAGGCTGGCTCCAGATGCGAGTCAATTCCCATATATGCCCATGTAAAATGCCCAACTTTACAGCAGATATAACTATATTTACAGTCTGGTGCAACAACAGCTTTGGTCTCTGCAGCTAATTTCCCTCTTTATGACAAATGTACGTGTTTACATTTTAATAAGGCTTAAAGTTAAGCATAAATAAGGGCGGGACACATTGACTGACAGGCTGTCTGCAAGCATCACCACAGTGTGTAAGTCAGATCCAAAGCTTTCTCATCCGAATTTAGTCCATTTTGTCCCCAAACAAACAAGATGGCGATAATCAAAATGCCAAACTTGAGGCTTCAGATCAGGAATCCATAAAGCAATGGCTGACTTTACGGTAGCTAGGCTATTCTAAACAGTTTGTGTTTTCTATCTTTATTTTAACTAAAGAGATGCATTTCCTTGGGGTAAACACTAGGGGGCGTACTACATGTATAACATAAATTATGGACACAAACAAAACTGTGTGGAAACAATATGTTAGGATTAACTCACTTTAGCCATCTCAACCAGATCAGGAATGGCCTTGAGATGGTTAATGGACAGCAAAAGGGTTTGCAGAGCTTCACTTGCAGATATGTCTTGAGCCTGGAACCTCGCTTCCAGGAAATTCAGGATTCTGGCATCATTGACCTCAACAACCATGTCCAAAAACCAACGTCTAATAACGAGTAAAGAGAAGAAAAGTGATTGAATCAGACAATACTTATGATAACTATTATCCTTCAAATAAATAAAGGGAGGATATTGAAAAGATAAAAGTGTGAGGATCAGTTCAGATGTGGCATTTAATTGCACATGTACAAGATGAAATACAAAGTGTCAGTTGCTACCTAAATCTTAATGAGCAAGAGAAGCAGTCTCTCAGCCATCACCTTTCTGTCATCATGCCTCACATGATAATAAATCATTCATCGATGGTAACGTGCCAGACTAAATCCCTCCTGAACTAAGTGGGCGGATGCTCTTCAATTAACCATTCTGTTGAGTGGATCACTATCAGATTTGAGAGATGGCCTTGAACTATTTTGTTCTCCATCTTATAATACTGTAATGAAAAGCTTGGTTAAAGGTTATCTATGAAGGAATTTCACTTTCAAACCTTCCTGCAGTGTTCTTAATGGGTACAAAGACATGCTGAATAAAATACTTTTTGAATTTCTGGTTACAGTCAAGTTTAAGCAGCTAATATAATTGTCCCCCCTAAATAAATCCAATCATAACGTAGCATCGAGCCGGCTCAGACCAGGGTCCGACAACAACACAGCTGTGCTCCATTGACTCTAATGCAGTCGTTTCAGATTTGCTTCATTTCCAGGCTGGTTTTGTGGATTTGGAGCTAAATGTTGTGCCTGGGGCACGTCGTGTATTAATGGTACTCGTTACCTGGAGAGGTTGGAAAAAGATATACGTTTCTTCCTTGTTCCAAAACCAAAATCAAACCCTGAAAAGTGTAGGGTTAGCTAGCTAGCTACTGAAGATATAGCCTACTGAATGTATACACACGCTGCTTTTGCTTTTTAATGATTATAACAGTGAAACAAAGACCGACCCTGCTGTACAGGAACCAGTGAAGGGAAGCAGGGAAACTTTGCTCATATTCAGATAGTTCGGCTTTAGCTTCTAACTATCTTTGTCTTTTTTAACCTGTTGTTGCTGCTGAGTCAGTTTGACATCCTGGATATATCCTTCAAACACAGACTGTAGACCCCTCTGTCTGCTTCTCTCTGGAATCACTGTTTCATTTTCCAAAAATATGGTAACATTTCTTTAGGGAGTGCAGTTAGTTACAGTGTGGGCTCCATGCTTACTCTGACAGCTTGACAGACCAGACCACCTTAGCAAAAGTTCTGTGTGCAGTTTGTGCATGTCATGTTGCTGCAGCCCAGCAGAAGCCATTGCGTGACTGTTGTGGGTATAATCAGTGTCAAACTCTGTATTGTCTCTCTATTTCATTCCTTTCAAATGCATTAAAATGTTAAAAACTAGAATGGTCCATGGGTGTTATTTAGGCAGAATTGTGAAGTGTTAGCATGCCATAACAAGGTCAGAAAAAGTCACTGAACAATATGTCATACAATGTCTTTAAAAAGTCACAGTATGTACACTTTAACTGTTGTCCTCAATCACATGCTGGCTAAAATGGCCCACAATTATCAAAACATTTTGAACCCCTGATCTAATTTTTTTATTTCAAAATGCTCTAAAATGTTCGGTTTAGCTGTAAAGTGTAAAAATTTGGTCAAATATCGTCTGCTCCAATGTTAAATATGTAAACATGACCCTGGTGAAAGACCCTTAAAAAGTGGTGTGGCTGCTACTGAGATATTTTCTTCAAATTTAGTTTTTCATATATTTTTTTCATACATTTTACATTTAAAATTTATGTTATATTCTGAATATTTTTTTTTCAGAACTTGATCAAGCCCTGTTTTCTTCTTTACAATTCATAATTGTCCACACTGTGTGATAATCTCATACCTATGCTCTTCATTTCCTGCAAGTTGCTTCCACATATCCTCCAATCCCTCATAAGGCATCGCTCGCAGGAGTTGATACAGCTTTATAGCCTCCTCTGTAGTTGCACTGTCAATCTGGTAGCGATTAACCTCAGCCAGATGCTTGACCAGCTCAATAGCCTATAAAGAGGAACAGAGAGTACAGCTCTAATTGGTTAATTGAACGCTGCTAATCCTGTATTTATTTTAACTTCCTGCTTCCTGCTCATATCAGGAAAGATTTTACAGACCAATGAATGTCATGTAGCAGCAGAATATCATTATCACCTTTGGCACTGGGTCTTCTAGGCTCTGCATCATAATGGGGACATTAACTTCTGAGCTGACAAACTTGTAAACAAGGTTGCCCTTGCTTTCCATTGGCCCAAACGTGACGGCTCTCGCTGTGTCACTCACGCCGAGCAGCACTATTTCCTTCCTGCAGGAGAAGTTATTTAAAGCAGACGATTTGTATGGCAGACGAGCATTACGGGTGAGAGGCGTGTTGTGCAGATATTTCCTTGTCTTACACGGCTTGCATCTTGAAACTGCCGCCCTTCACATTGAAGGGACTGAAATGCTGCTGCTCCAGGCCATGAGCCCTGGTAATGAGGCCTCCCTCTGCTGTTGGCTTGACTGTGTAAACATATCTCACTGTTGAAATGACAGATTCCCCTCTCTAGATTGGAGGACACACAAACAAAAATAGCTCTGACTTTGGTCTGCTTCATTTATAATTGTGGAATCAGATGCATCTGCGGAGAGATAAACAGACCTGCTTGGCAACTTCATCGAGCACAGCAGTGGCCATTCCTCTATACATGGCTGCTCTCTCCTTGCAGTTAATGACATCCACAACCTGAGTGATGGTCATTTCCTTTGTTTCCCCGTTTTCTTCAGTTGCATAGTTACTCTGACACTTGCCATGGATGCCAGCCTGCAAACACAGTTAAACAAGTTTTATTACATTTTTACACATACTGTTTGTTTAATTGATAACAGTTTATTTGTCAGCAGTGACTCACCTCTTCGAGCTGATAGACCCTCTGTGTGGTCTTCAGAGTGACTTGGAACAAACCCAGTATCCCTCTCACAATGTTGACAATCGTGTCAGGAATCTCAGCAGCGGCATTGATGTTACTAACGTGTCCACCAGCATAGTCAAACATGAAGGGTTTGATGAGATGGGCAGCAATATGCTTGGTGAGCTTTGGGGAAGCATTAAAGCTGTTTTTCCCCGGGAAGCCATTGAACTCCTCGAAGGCCAAATCTGAAAGCTTTGAACCAGAGATCGAAATAATATGTTTTAGTGCTCATGTGCCACAGTGACGAGTATTTGTCAAGTCAACATGAAAACTCTCCAATTTTCTTTGTCAGATGAAGCACAGCAGGTGTATGTACTGATAATATATATCCAACAACATTTGAACACATCATCTGTTTATGATTGGAAGATGACAAAAAGGAAGGTACTGCGTTATAGATGCACAAACAGTCCACTGTTGCTATGCAGACATTTCTAACAAACAAAATCTCAACAGTTTAAACTTATTAGGCGGTTTACAAAGAACTCTGTGTCATATTTACACCATAAAAAGTTATTTTGGGGAGATTACAGGCTGTACAACCTTTCAACAGATGTTTATTACATTGACCTCCAAAGTATTTATGATGTATGAATAAAAAATGAATGACAAATGATACGATGCCAATTACTTTACTTGAATTATTAATCAGAAAAAATGCAGTAATTAACAACCTGTTTATGAAACAATGCTCGGTGAGTATTTTTAAGTTTAAAAAACATATTCTGAGAGAGTTTGTAGAACAATGTATGGTCAGTCTTACCTGAAGGAGGAATGTTCGTTCAGACACACCAGCGATCTTGAGCTTGCACGTTATTCTCACACCAGATTCAGCAAGGTTTGGCATCCCGAGTCCAAAATTCACCATTCCCTCATATCTGTACTCGTAGGTTTTCTTTGGGTTCAGGCTGAGCTCTGGAATATGTTTCCAAAATGAAATGCTATTTCACTTCTTATGGAAAGTTTTGGAAAAAGATTATTTTGTGTTCTTACAATGATGATAAAAACACTCACCGTATCGGACACTTTGACATGCTGAAGGAATAAAAATCAAACATTATGTCAGCATTTATGAGAATATCAGCACATTTTGTTATTTTGTTCAATCTAGGGGACAACATGTTAAAGTAAGAACACTTATTTCCAACTTGATCCCAAGATATTAAAAAAATATATATATATGATAAAAAATAAATGAACTGAAGTTAAAGAATTATGAGGCTGCATTGTGATATCGTCCTAAAAACTAAAATCATATGAATTAATCAATGAAAACTCACTGGCCAGGGCCACAAGGCAGCAGAAGAGGAGCCCTTTCATGTTGAAACTGAGGAGTTGGAGATCACATTTCAGGCTCGTCCTTTATATATACCAGCGTGGGTTTTGATTTGGGAAACTGGTTGCAGTGAGAGCTTGTGATCAGGACATAGGTCTGGTTGAGACAACTGACTGATTTAAAGTAAACACACACGAGAGCCATGTTGACCTGTGACATTGTCGGAGTGACACGAGAGAACTGTCTCAACAGTTTTGTAATGACAATAAATGAGCTGTCGTGACGGCTCAGTGACAATTTAACCTTTTTGATTGTGCTCAAAGATAAATAAATATAACCATGGACACAGAACCAGTGGTAGAAAAAAGTATCCTGACCCTGTACTTAGGTAAACGTGCTAATACTACACTGTGAAAATCTCCACTACACGTAAAATGTTGGTGAAGATTCTCAGTCATCCAAGTCATGGTAATCTTAAGTGCTATATCATAGGCAACTGGACTTGCTTGAGTTTCTTGAAGACATTTCACCTCATCTAAGAGGTTTCTTAAGTTCAGAACTGAACTGAAACATCTTCAAGAAACTCAAGCAAGTCCAGTTGCCTCCGATATAGCACTTAAAACTGCACATAAAAGCATTCAAAACCTTTCTTAAGTAGGTGTGTAAGTATTATCAGCAAAGTCTACTTAAAGTATCTCAAGTAAAATAATTGATTGTGCAGTAAAATGTTCCCTGTCAGTGTTTTACAATCATATATGAAGTTACTGAGTAATAATATTGCTGCATTAATGTGTATGTTGCATTTTACTGCTTAAGATTGAGCTAATTTATCTACTTTATATGTTGGGGAGTTTAATCTACAGCAGTGCGTCATGTTCTATAAGATCATTTTAGCGTCTCTGTTCTATAAGAACTACTTACCTCTATAAAGTCTGAAAAGCAGCCCTGTTTTCAGTGTGACGATGAATTTTCCAGCTGATCCGAGTGAGTTTTCAAACAGTTCATTTAGCTTAAGCAGCAGAGAAATAGCAGAGGGGGGCAGCTTCTGGAGCTCCAGCCCTGAATGCTTACTCAAAAGCCCGCAAAAATCCTTTAGGTTTTTAAACACCTTCAGCTTTATTATTCAGATAACAATATCTGCCCATGGTATTGATCCTTTTATGTTTTTGCCTACATAAATCTAGTATTGAGTAAATAGTCTTCTGTTGGCGTCACATTCAGTTCAGAGTATTGAAGGCTACATTTATGTGGCATTGTTGAGGATCCTCGATTTGCAATTAGAGCAACTCGGATTAATATGGCATGGATTCAAACGTAGGTGTTTTGTTAGATAAACAGTCACTCTGTGAGCTCTGCTCCAGCATAGCAGATTTCTACCCTGTTATTTAACTTTAATTTAACATCAGACAAATTTTTCCTCTTTTTAGGCGGCAGGAGTGAAAATAAGTCATCCTCAATATTTGTTGTGTTATGGTGTCAGAATGATGAATGCAGTTGGAGATCAAATAGAAATAGACCGAAGATGCTACAAGATGATTTTTTCCTTTGAATTTTTAGAATGATGTACAATTTGTAGGCATTATATCATCTTAAATGGCTTGAAAAATAGTTCCTATAGCTGCCATAAAATGGGGGAAATAATCTAGCAGGGGGAGCATGCCCCTGGACCCTCCTAGGTTTAGTTAAGCCCCAAGTGTTAACAACGTCTGGCTCTGTCCCTGGTAAGAAGTAGGATCATTTTCTCAGTCTATAAAGGAACATTTTATCCCTCAGTTTATAAAATCAGTCAAAGTTCACACATCTTGAGACACATCGATTTCATTGCACAGGAAGGGAATGGAAAATTTAAAAAGTAGCTCAAGCTGTCAGACAGATGTCATGGAATATCTGCCTCTTAGATTCAGTGAAGCAAAAGAAACATACATAAAATTAAAATAATCAAGTACCTTGAATTTGTACAATACTTTAGTAAATGTACCTTTCCACCACTGCACAGAACTCAACACAGTCTGTTCTAAGTATTAAAAAATAGTGAAGTTAAAGCCTAATTTTTAATCACTCAGAAAATGAGGTAAACAAGTTTTTCACAGCTGAACGGAGGGATAAACCCAGCGGGATCTACATCTATTCCCTCTGTGAAACCCAGCCACGTGGAGCGAAGGCAGAGCAGATGCAGCCTGGTTTGCTCTTTTACTTCTTCAATATCTGTCACAACTCCATGTCTTAAAACGTATATACCGTTCCCCTGGCATCACAAAGCTCTCCTTCTGGATACAACAAAGTCAAACAGTGTGGTGAATTGCTGCTCTTCATGCCAATTTTATAATCTGCCGCAGCCTAAAGGGCTCCGCAAACAGCCCTGTTTATAAGAGCAGTTTGTGAGGGTGACGACACCGAGCAGCAATCAGCTAAAAGGGTCTATTCTCGTCTTCTTTTGGGGTTGTGTTCGGATTGCAAAACGCATGGCTCCCCTGTGTAATCGCACATGAGCCATCACACCTCTTTGATTCTCAGGATTCAGGTCACCTGACCATCAGCTATTCCTGTTTTTAATCTCGGCAGCAGCCAGTAGAGGTCTCCAACATTACAAGTATGTCCTGAAACTGGATTGAAAAACTTGTTTTGAGGACAAAGAAAGAGTCAAAAAGCATTAAAAGTGTCTTGGCAAAACAGTTTAGTTAGGTGAGGTCATGATGTGAGTTTCAGTGGCACATCTGTCAGCCAAACTCAGTGCTTAATGATAGTAAATTCTATATTTCACTCCATTTTCTGCAGTAATATGACAACTCAAGTAAGCTGAGGTCTAGCAGGGATGTTAACAGACTTGTTGGGTCTCAGTAAGTTATGTTTTAATCTGGCTGTGTTAAAGTCAAGCAATTTAAAGTGAAACAAGTCAATGCTAGGACATAAGGCGCACCACGCAAGATTGTCAGTTTCTGTTCGCAAACACACTCACTAGCAAAAGTGAAGGTAAAGGCCAACCCCAGATTCACTCTCATTTAGAATTCCACCTTGCTATATTTGTGGGGTTTTTTTCGACATTGTGTCTCTTGGATGCCTGCTGATTACACTCTGGCACTTGGTTGCTAACTTTTTGTAAAGCCTCAACCTCACCTGAGCGCTGTCGTGTTAGATGCCTATAAACATCCTGAACACCGAAAATAATAAGAAAATACAGGCAGAGGTCAGACTCTCTGCAGAAAAATACACCCCCACACAGAGAGAGTGAGTATATCTTTAATTTTACTGACACTAAACTGAGAAGAAAATAGAGAAACACAGTGCATGTGTTTGTGTAACAAAAATTGTTCTCTCACACACCAGCAGAGATGTTCACCAGTGTCTGCAAGGACTTTCAGCATCCAACAAACTATTACCTAGAATAACTAGGTAACAACATGCTCCTGTGTACAGGCATGTGACACATTAGTGCACCAACATTTCTTGTTTGGTTGGTCCGTGCTTCTTGTGAAGAAAACATAGACCAACCATTATTTTAGACAAAGTAGTTAGTCACAGTCTAAAAGGGCACATACGTCCAAATATAGAGTCGTCTGGACTTAAGAGTTGGGTTTATATATAAAAGCACAAGTACATATACTTTACTTATTTACTTTAGTTTTGTTTGGTTTAATTATTCTGACAATTTATGAACTGAGGTCACAACAGATTTAAAATGATAAACACGTATATCCATTAATGAATTTAAGGGCATCATTTAAGGGCATTGATGAATTTAAGGGCATCATACACAATGTGCTTGTTGTGGATTTTTGTATTATGTGTTGTATTTGTTGCATTGTAAATGTGTTTTGATTGGCTGCTACCTTTGCCAGGTCTCTCTTGTGAAAGAGATTTTCAATCTCAATGGGACTTCCTGGTTAAATAATCGTTATAATAAATAAATAAAAAATAAATAAAATATAAGTAAATTTACTGTAGATGGGAGGAAATTCATAAAGTGAGTAATTTTTTGATGCATTTATTGTCCGACACAGAAGTGAGAAGTGCAATAAAGCAAGAACACTTAGGAAAATTAAGGGTCAGCCACAATATTTATTTATGTACAGGCCAGTATCACAAAGCCTTAGAGGACTACACAAAAAATGCTACAGCACAAAAAAAAATACAAGAAGAAGAACATTTGTCTGATCGTGCAGACACATAATCAGAAAGTGATGCAAGCCATGAGTTTGTGTGTCAGATCAGATGCTACAATGGACAGTTCCTCATTAGCTCCAGTAGATGGGGCCATTGGCCTTCCTAACTGCCATCATGTACGAGCGCAACTGTCCTCACAACAGTTCATATTTAATAAACTGTACACTGAGTTGTGTGGAGTTCACAAACGGAGGGTTTAATTCATTAAACAAGAGCATTGATTCTGCACAGAAAGGAAGTGAGCAGCAGAGATATGTGTTAGTTTGCTACATTCATTTTTAATAATTTACAAATCAATTTCAAACACAAGGACAGAACAAAGACGGCAGACTGCTGCTCAGGTTTAATGCTGGTAACTGCAGAGATGTTAAACTTAACTGAAAATGTGCAAAAATATGATTCTCAGGAGAACGTCTGCTGTGGAAATGTTGACTCAGTAGTTTATCTGCATTGTACATAACACTTACAAACATGTATAGATGATGGCAGTTTTTTTTACAAAGGAAACAAGACATTTAGAAATCATTTATTAGACATCTGAGCTTAACAATTCCTCCCACAACGTCTTTCAAAACTGAACGCATGACTCACAGGATATTGCAAAGCTATCGGGCGGACTATTATTGTACAAGTGCAAGTGATCAGGCTGTGTGCACGTGAGCTCATCTCAGGCACTCAAAACAACAGGGCACGTTTTTGAAAAGCCGGTAGTACTCCTCCTGGATCTGGAATGACACATACAAGATGGCAGGATGTAGAATAAAACATATAATATAATATAATATAATATAATATAATATAATTCATAATCTAAAACAGTACTTAAGAAACAATTATGAGGTATTTGTACTTTACTTGAGGATTTCGATTTTCTTCATACTTTCTCTAGGACATTTATTTCA